CTGAGTGCCCCCATAGCAAGCCACTTGCTATGGGGGCACTGGTGAGGGCTTGATCCTGAGCTGGGCTCTGTGTGTCAATTGACACACACAGCATGGCTCGTGCATTAAGGTAAAAAAAAACCCAATGCCTGGAACCCCCCTCCCCATTCCCTATACCCTTATCTGAGTCCTCTCTCAATCCAGCACTGTGCCCCTCTCTCCTCCTGGCCTGGGAACAGCAGGAGCCAAAAGCTTCTGCCACTGTCAGTCACATGCTGGCAGCACACACAGGCCGACTTGCCCATTGCACATAGCTTGCTATGGAGGCTGCGCACATCTGGGGACTTCAGAAGAGGAGGTAAGGGACTACTGTGTTAATATGTTTGCACAGAGCAGGTAAGTATAATGGAAAATAACCCCGAGCCATTAATATCACTTTCAGCTCTGCTGATTGCAGGCCTATAGGTATTTAGAGATGTCAACACTGCTGCACTTGGAAGCTATACAATTCTTATTGTTAGGCAAGTGAAAGTGTGAAAGTGTAGTAATGCATAGCAGCCAATCAGCAATTGTTTAATTATTCTGACTGGTCAGAACTGATGAAAGGTAAACTCTAGTTGCTTTGTTTATCCTTACTGAACTAATTTGTTGAAACACTTTTATTTGAATGCTTTGTTTGTTATGCAGATGCATGATATATACTCACAGAACTACCTGTTTGTTTATTGTAAGAAAAAGTAAACCTGGTACATGCTGTGCTGTCAGAAGTTGTATGATGATTACTACTGTTAGGCTTCATTGAGACGTGCACTTGGGGGGGCAAAACTGAGTGTTTTGAGCCACTTTTTTGTCGCTCATCAACTGCCCCCTTAAACTGCAATAGGCAGTGTATGGGGGTGTTTACATGCTGTAGTTGCAATATATTGTTTCACGTCTGTGACAAAGTTCATCCAACATTTAGTGATAGGCAGTTGGCAAGCCCACCGAATGCTACACGCTCAGGGAAATGGGAAGCACTGAAAATGCCCCGTAGCTGTGTGCAATGCATGCAGTTGTGGCGTGTTGGCCGGCAAAAATAGCGGTAAAAGACAGGCAGTGAGGAGGCCTCACATAGCTTCTTCAGCATCTGTCACTAGCCTCCGAAGCTCATCCCAGCACGGATCAGGTATTAGAGGTAAGGGAGATTTAGATGCACGTCCAAATGCACCCTTAGGAGTAAAGTTACATTGGTGAGCAGAGCTGCCTTTCCAGACAGTTATCAGCACTGCACATGCAATAAATCATGTATTGGAGCAGATCAGAGACCCGACTGTACAAGTGGTGCCTGGCTTTCACATACGCACAGGCCATCTTTGTTTATATCCATTTATCTGAGAGTGTGGACATTGAACAGAGGACTTTGTTCCACTTATTCATATTGTGCATTCTGGTGACACAAGGATACCTGACCTTTTTATTACTATTTTATGATTATTCTGTTTAGCGCAAACATGAAACACCTGTTCAAGCTAAAAAAGATTTTTTTTCTTGCCTAGTTGGTTATTATAGAAGAATATGCAATATAGTAAAGTACATTAGTGCTTGGCCTCTGGAAATCCATAAGATTGCTTTGGGGTTATGGCATATTTTTGGCTCCAGTAACATTTTCTGCATATAATTTTTCTGCATATACTTATGGCACCCAATCTCAACTGAAAAGCGAGTTCCACTAGTGCCCCCTAATCCTAAAGCAGCATTGCAGGCATACAGCAGACTGCACAACTAAATAAAAATTTACCATTTTACTTTAAGATAGATCGAATATTCTGTTCAGCCATCCTTGTGATTTACATATATTTTCCATACTCTACAGCCCTGTGGTTGATATCTCTAGTTAGAAATTAAGCAGTTCAGTTTCTCATGTCACCTCTCCACCTCAGTGGACAATGAATTGGAATTATCACATCATTTTCTGTTTAAAACTGTAAAATGTATGTATTTCAGTTGTGTATGTATAGCTCTTTGTCCAGAATTTCACTTTTTTCACACTTTCATGCAGTTGGATCCTGGAGAAATCTTCACTGCATGGGATGCCTGCAGTAGTTAACAGCTTCAGGCAGAAAGCAGCACATAGGTTCAATAGGGAGGGAAACACTCCATCCTTCTCCACTGAAAAATAATTTCATTGATTACACTGCATGTCAGTCTGTGAATGGGATAGACAATCATGTGACTCCTCAGACTCTCCCCCCCCCCCCCCCCAATTCACTGATCAAGTTACAGAACCTTTTTCAATGGAGGAGGTGGAAGGAGGGATCGTTTCCCGTCAGACCATCTGTACTGTTGTTCTGACCTTAAGCTGTTAAGAGACAGAAAGAGGACAGTCATCCCTGCAGTGAAGATTTTTCCAGGATCCAGCTATCTGCACAATGTGGGACATTCATCAGGTAAGAGGTGTGACTAAAGCTTTCAAGATTTTTTTCAATTCAGGTGGCTTTGGAGGGGTTTTACACACAGTGTATGTAAATCTGATAAACCGACTGTTGTCAGATGAAAGTAATGTTTCAAATAATAGAAAAGGAGGAGCGCCAATGTCCAAAAGAATGCACTTTTGATGGTAGATTAAGAGACATTTGTTGAGAGTACCGACAAGTACTTCAAGTCAATGCGTTTTGGGAGAAAAGACTTCCCCCCCCCCCTTCAGGGCTATTAAATAAATACGAAAAATATACAGAGAAACAAATATATGAGCAAGAGAAAGAAATGAAAAAAAAATGGAATGTATATTAAAAAATGAAAACTTTATGTAGAGGCAAAAATACCAAGGTAAAATAGGTAAAAGTATTGGGACGCCTGCCTTTACACACACATGAACTTTAATGGCCTCCCGGTCTTAGTTCAATATTGAGTTGGCCCACCCTTTGCAGCTATAACAGCTTCAACTCTTCTGGGAAGGCTGTCCACAAGGTTTAGGAGTGTGTCTATGGGAATGTTTGACCATTCTTCCAGGAGCACATTTGTGAGTCAGGCACTGATGTCAGACGAGAAGGCCTGGCTCACAGTCTCTAATTCATCCCAAAGGTGTTCTGTCGGGTTGAGGTAAGGACTCAGGCCAATCAAGTTCCTCCTCCCCAAACTTGCTGTTTATATGTCTTTTATGGACCTTGCTTTGTGCACTGGTGTGCAGTCATGTTGGAACAGGAAGGGGCCATCCCCAAACTGGTCCCACAAAGCTGGCAGCATGAAATTGTCCAGAATGTCTTAGTATTATGACGCCTTAAGAGTTCCCTTCACTGAAACTAAGGGGCCATGCCCAACCCCTGAAAAACAACCCCACACCATAATCTCCCCTCCACCACACTTTACACAATGCAGTCCGACAAGTACCATTCTCCTGGCAACCTCCAAACCCAGACAGGTTTGAAGCATGATTCGTCACTCCAGCAAACACGTCTCCACTTCTCTAGAGTCCATTGGCATTGTACTTTACATCACTGCATCAGATACTTTGCAGTGTACTTCATATGCAGCTGCTCGGCCATGGAAACCCATTCCATGAAGTTCTCTATGCACTGTTGTGTAATCTGAAGGCCACATGACATAATAAATTGGAATTACCACTATTTTATTCTCTAGGGTTTCAGAAGATATATATATATATATATATATATATATATATATATATATATATATATATATATATAATGAATTTGGGGTTTTATTATGTATTCCCAGACCTAAAATGATTTTTTAAATGTATGCAGAAATGGCTCTGGCAATGAAAGGGTTAACTTTTAGGTCTAATTCCTTATCCTCAAACTAATCAGAATATGTGCCAATAGACATGAGTTGACAGTTTCTTAAACTGTTTTTGAGCCCATGCTGAAAAGTAAGACTACTAGGACCCTGTACTCTGGAGTAATGAGACCAAGATAAAAGTTTTTGCAACTGATGTATCACAAAGGTGAGGAGTAGAAAGAAAAATGCATGGTGCCTTTAGTGAAACATGGTGGTGGCAATGTCCTTCTGTGGGGCTTCACAAGTGCTGCTCATGTCATGGACCTGCATTTCATTGATGGTATCATGAATTCACAGATGTACTGCTCTATATTGAAAGAGAAGATGCTATCATCACTCCGTGCCCTTGGTCATCATGCACTTTTCCAACATGACAATGATCCAAAACATACATCTAAGGCCACTGTTCCGTTTATGAAGAACAGGGTGAAAGTGATTCAGTGGCCCAAGTATGACTCCTGACCTAAACCCAATTGAACGCCTATGGGGAATTCTGAAAATACAAGTTAAGCATCACTCTCCATCTAGCATCCAGGTTCTAAAAGAAGTCATCCTTGAAGAATGGAAAAAGATAGATATTGCAATATGTCGCCAACTTGTTTATTTCATGCCTAGAAGACTTGGTGCTGTCCTTACAAATCATGGAGGTCATACAAAATGCTAGATGTAGGAGTTTTTGTTGTGGGGGTGTGTTCATTTTTGCATCAACTAATTTGAGTAAAATGGAAGATTTTGTAGTCTAATTTACATTATTAACCTTCTTTCATGTAATGAGCTAAACAAATGTTCTATAAAACTCAGTTTTGTCAAAATTTTGGAAATTGTTTTTGTGTTCATTGAGGTATTGATTAAAATCTTACTTTTCAAAAGGGGTGTACTCATTTATGCTGAGCACTGTAAACCAATGGTGAAATAAATTTGTATAGGTAAACAAAAACTGCTACAATTTTAATATATCTGAAAAATTATGCTGGAAAATCCTGGCGTTTTCAGACACAGTGTCCAGCCTTGCTGCCAGCAGCTTGTCAAAATCGATGACCAGTTTTAGGGCCATATCCATTCAGGGATATATGCCCCAAAGGCAGTTTTAATATCCAAAACTCAAATTGTGTTTGTGTATTACCCCTTAAGCTTTGGAACTTGCAGCATGAGTATTGGTTAGAAAAAAAGGCCAGTCTTATTCAAGCTGATCGGAAAATGTCTGTGTATTTTTAATACAGACAGTATAACAATGTTTCTTTTTATTAACAGCTAGTGACGATGTTCGAGAAACCTTTGCCAAAGCCAGAAATGGAAAATACAGACTGCTAAAGCTGGATATCGAAGATGGTTTGTAATGCAATTGTAAAATTCTTCTGCCATCAATGCAAAGTGTGTGTTCATGCACCAAAGTACAGATATCTTAAGAAAACTGCACATTCAATGCATCATAAACAGCAGACCAATCAGAAGCCATCTAGCCCGCTCGATAGCCAACACCAGTGTATAAATCCCCACATACCCTTCTTTCCCACTCTCCTCTCAGCATGGGATCAGTGCAGGGAGGTTTCCCACACCGTCACTGTGACAACCCTGGGTTCACACAGGAGCAATGGGGGAGCTGCATGCAATTTGGACAGGAATAGCATTCCTGTTCAACTTGCATGCTATTCTTTTGCGGTGCAATTTGCATCCATGCATTTTTGTATTGACGCAAATAGCACCGCAAAGTATCGGTAGTCGGTATTGGTGAATACTTGACTAAAAGTATCGGTACTCATACTCGCAGCTCAAAATATGGTATCGGTGCATCCCTAGTAAGCACCCCTGACTGTGTTAAATGGTTTGTCTCAGCCCTCTAACTGCCACTTTTGCTGGACATCTTAATTGTTGGGGTAGGTTCACACCAGAACATGGTGTGGGAAATCTGCGTTCGTGTTCATGCAGTTGCGATCTGCAGCAGGCATCAGTGTTAAGTTAACTACACCCCAAATGCAGATCGCATGGTACTTTTGCCTGCACCAAATCGCATGGTACAAAATATCATGCAATCCAGTGTGTTTCCAAAAGTAGCGCATGCACTACTTTTTGTTGAGATTTCAGCTCATTCAAAATGAATGGCCTCAAATCGCACAGCACTGAAATTGCAGGCGATTCATAGTGTGAACCAGGACTTAAAGGAAGTTGAAAAAGTAACAGATTTGCTGGCTGGATCAACAGGTCAAAATAAGGGGAAAAAAATTAAAACAGGAAACAAATGCAGCCACCACATCTAAAAATTGGTAAGTTGCAGTATATTACAATTTTGGTTTTGGGTTAAATATTGCTTAAAGTTATTCAGTATAATTTCTGTTTGTTTCCAGGAGGGCAGTTTTCATCTTATGTTTTTGTTTGTAACCAAAACATCAAATATTTGATGAAATGGGAACTTATAATAATTAGGTGAAATCTAGCATATCTGTCCTGAAATCTAGGTATAGCAGCGATGTCACTGGGGAAATTGCTAGTCACCTATAAATTCTTCTTTGTTTTACTAATAGAGCAATTGAATGTGAGTGTTCGGGAAAAGCCAATAAGCTCTTGGGACAAAGACTACGATGGCTTTGTATTGCCAGTTTTAGAAGATAAGCAACCATGTTACATTTTGTATCGTTTGGATACCCAGAATGCACAGGGCTATGAATGGGTCTTCATTGCCTGGTCACCAGACTATTCTCATGTAAGTGTGGGCCACAGCTTACTTTACAGAATTTGATATTTCATTTCATTATTGCTGATAAATGATGGTTATATATGTAAGGGGCACGCAAAATAGATATAGAAGAGAAAATTAAATAAGATTTGGTCAGTGATTTCACCCAGAATTCCAAGATAGAGGGTGGCACACCTTATTATTTTCTTAGTGTTGCACATTATTCTTGTCCATTTCTTCAAGGAGGTCAGGTGACCCACATAGTTCACTGCATGTTTTTTAACTTCTTTCAAGCTTTTGCTCTTAATTCTTTTAAAATGTTTTATGAACTCTGGTGAATTTATGCCTACTGACACCAATTTTTTAACTGATTTTCTGCACTTGCTTATTAGCAGTGTAAAAGATACACTTCTGACCACTGCACCTGGTATGCTTTATGGTGCTTAAAGTGGTTGTAAACCTCAGACATGAAAGCACATCCTTCCATATTGTGTACTACTCTCTATTCAAAGCACTGAGTGTGATTTCTCTCTGCTGCTTTGTTTCTCTAGTAGCAGCCTAAGACACTTCTGACAGCTTTCCTGATACAAGAGAAAAAAAAACACTGATGGGGGTGGAGAGCTTCAGCACACATCCTGTGACTGATATCCTCAGCTCTGCATGTTTTCAGTGTACTGTGTAAAGGTGGGGGGATCCCTTTCCTACCCTCCGCTCCCCTTTAATCAGACATCAGAGCTGTTCTCACTGAGATCTGCAATCTAAGACTTCAGATCCCTGTCTTTCAATAGTGAGTGGTCCTGTGTAAATTCTGGACTTTGAATGGATGTGGAGGCCAAATTGCATCAGATAGAAAGGTACATCTTATATTATTTCATCTTTGTGTAACACCTGAAGCCAGTCACTTCACTGGGTATACTCAAGGGTTTACAACCACTTACATTATTTTAATTCGGCATAGTTATCTTAGATATTAAGTTTACCCACTTACTTAATGTTAATTATTTTGTCTGAGGATGTTTCAGAGTCATGCAAGGCCCCTTGGGATGTGAAATTGGCTACCCTGTTCATTGCCTTAACTAATGCTACCATTTTTCTTACCTTTAGAATCTGTTAAGGGATACTTATGCCATTATTTGTGTCAACAGCATGAGGTCTGAGCAGCAATTGTTAACCTATACACTTTTAGATTTCTCGGCTTCATCAATATTCCCTCATCCACGCTAAACCGCATGGATGAAGGAATCTGCACTGCTGACTATTGTCTTCAGACAGCAGCAGCATTCATTGTTGCCCAAATACCCAAACAGTGACTGCATCTGATAAGATGCAGTCACTGTTTGGCTAACAATTTTCCATCCAGCTAAGTCCATTTTTAAATCGACTTTTGTCAAGCCAGGTGGTATCATAGGGGCCATCCATGGATTAAATTTCAGCCAATTGAGCAGGAAATTTAAGCCGTGTATGAATAGCTTTAGACTCCAGGTGACCTCTCATCACAAAATGCCAGGGAATTGAATCATCCTTGTGTATCACCTGATGCTAGTCACTTCACTGGGTATATATGAGGGTTTTCAAGCACTTTAAAATAGGCTACAGTCTGTGCTCTAACTACATTGAATAGTTTCTATAAGTTCATCCCCCCCCCGCAAACCCATCCATTTGGAGACTGGATGTGGGAATTGGACCCTTAAGGCTAGGGGGACAAAGTGCCTTGCAGGGGGTGGGGGACTTTGCTGCCCCTTCCCTCTGCAAGGTATCTTACCAATGTTGAAGAAAGGCATGTGTCCTGGTATAGTTCAAGAAGTGGAACTGCACACTTGTTATCCTCCCTTTCCTGGCCACCCTAGCTACATGCCTGGAATTGGGGTCTAACTTTGGATGCCTTGAAGCTGTAACTTCAGCCGCAGCTTTAAAGCATCCCCCAAACATGTAATTTTAAAAGATTTATATATTTTCAGTGTTGTACTTTAAGTCACATGAAATTATTCTGCATTAGCCCTGAATAAGGTAAGAAAAATAGCAAGATTTGGCTCCTAGAGACTTCAGTAGTGCTTGGCACTTTGTTCAGGGTTCGGACTTCCTGCTGAGTTCGCCTGAACTTCCTATGAACCGAACTTTGTCTGATTTGCAAGCCTTACTGGCTAGGTGGTGTAAGCTTCAGAATGGTTAGACAAATACAAATCCTTTGGAAGGAAGATGGCTACCTTATGTGCATTTCACCTGTATACTTGGCTGTTTGTCTTTAATCGTCTATGCAGGGGTATACTTTAACTTCATTGTAAACACTGTTTTCTATTAGGTACGACAAAAAATGTTGTATGCTGCAACTAGAGCCACTGTGAAAAAGGAATTCGGAGGTGGCCATATAAAAGAGGAGCTTTTTGGAACCACAAAGGTGTGTGCAATTATAAAGCTTATTTGTGACGGAGTCTGATTTACTAAGGGCTAGGTCACACCACATGCAGTCTAGTGCGTATTTTTTTTTTTTCTCCATCAAAAATGCATGGAAAGTAGGTTATATGGTTTCCTATGGCATAGTTCACACAAGTGCAGTCAGAGCCAGGGCCTTCTAGTACCAGAAAAAAAAAAGTAGAACATGCCGCATTTTCCTTCCACTGGACTGGACTGGAATGCAGTAAAATGCCTCAAAAATGCACTGGACCCTAGTACAGGGAAAAAAGCATCTGGAATGCATCAAAAACACAATGGAACAAATCAAAACCGTGGTAGAAGCATGTATGCAGGAACGCATTCGGAATGGATCTGGATTGCATTTTTGTGATGGAGTTGAAAAAGTGTGTGAATAGTAACTTCCATTATCCAACCATATGAAAAACAGATTCTTGTTCACTTGCTTACATATTTTTATCTGCGCATGACTGGAAAGTTGAACTTTTGCTGTCTAAGTAAAAATATGCATTTTTATTAAGCTTTGAATATTGATAAATTTTCAACATACTAATCATCCTTTACATTAGATTTTTTTCCTTTTTTGATGCAGGATATTATCTGTTGTTTTATGACCACGGAAGGCTGTGTGGAGCTGATACTGCTTTGTATATCTTCTGCATGAGTAGTAACTATAAGAGCCTGTCTCAATGAACCTTGAGCTTGTGTCGACATTAGTTTGAAATGCTTTTGAGGTGATTCAGAATTCATTGACAGGTGTATTTGACTTGCAGTTGTCATATGAATTCTACTCCTCAAAGCAGGTACCTCAGTAGCTCAAAACACAAAAAACATTCAAATGCTTATATAGTCTGGTGTTAAATATAGGTTTACCAGTGATTCATTTTTTCTCTGATTGGAGCCCTCTTGTAATATAAAAATATCTGCACAGTTGCTGCTTGTGGCATTTCCTAGACAATGTATTATTAAGTGACTAGTGTCACAGCTATTTCACCTTTCTACCTTTTTATCGTACTCTGTTCACAGCTATAGTGAGAACAAATAAAAATAACTTGGCAAAGAAGTCTGCTTACATACCTGAAAGCTATAAAAGTGTGTTTCCTACAATTAATGCGGACTGGTTATTGATTGTGCTCGGTTACAAAGCGGTGTGTGTGTGTGGTGGTTTTTATTTTTTCTATTCTTGTAATGTACTTTTTAAAGCAAACACACATCACATGTAAAGCAAATCTAGCATCAGATCCATTTTCACATGTACGGTGTATGTTAAGTAATGTACAAGTTTAATACATAGTTATTTAGTACCTCTAAGATAGATGAAGGAATGTTGCATGTGCAGACCTATAACATCTCTTGCTTGAAAGGTGTTCCGTAATGAAAAGTTGCTTTTAATCCCACATTTTAATGCCCTGGAGGTACCTAGAAAATTTGATTTTTCTACTTTAGGGACACAGGAAATCAGTGATGGTCAAGTTATACTGCTGGCTATGGGTGATTTTTCTGCAAACAAAAAAAGAGTGGGGGTGGGGGGGGCACTCGGAGATCTTGTAGGAAAGGGTAGAACTCAATCCTTAAAGACCATAAACTTGAATCATGGTTTGTCTTAGACACTGAGATATAGGGGAATAAGTAGCAGATTTCCCCTTATGGGGACCATCAGGAATGACAGAGAGATGTCCGTCATCTTGCTGATAGAGGTGAACTCGCACAGCACAAACTACATCCAAGCAATGGAGGGACTTCACCTTCTGATGATCTGGGGCTAGACTGAGATATGGGAGAATGATGTCCTAGTTAAGGCAACAGACTAAAACTGTTTTTGGATTGAAGTTCTGGGACTTATTATTTCCTTGCCCTTGTGTAAGAACAGAACAAGTTTTTTATAGGATAAGGCCTTCAGCTCAGTCACTCGCCTCGAAGAGATGATATCCACAAGGAATGCAACCTTCTGAGAGAGTAACATACCCCTGATAGGTTAGGAACGGAGAGAAACAAATTTAGATCTCATAGAGCCATTGGTGACACAAGAAGAACCCACATGGGAGACTATCTGTACAGAGGTCTTGAGTAAAGAGTAAGAAGCCAGCAGTCTCTGGATAAGATTAAAGTTGCAGAGACCTGACCCTTAACCCCGTGCTGCCACTGATGTAGGTGATATGTCGGCAACTGCTGAGGGTTTACACACACACACTTCCTGGCAGTTAGATGGAAGTTATCAGATGGTACAAAAAGTATGTACACAATTTCACATACCTCAGGAACATACCAGTCTGACCTCAACCCACCCTCTGCCATGTTTTCCGGGCTCCATGCTCCCATTGGTGACTGCAGACCAGAATAGTGGGTGCCGCCAGGTAGAGGGAAGAAACCAGTGAACTCCCCTTCTTGGTAGGAATTTGGAAGTGTGTGAAACCTACTTTTGGGTCCTGCTGTCCAAAAAAACCCTTAAAGAGAACCGGTCCAAAAATTATCACATAGGTGACTTTTTTGTCCCCTATGTGATAAAAATGAAAGTTTAGTGAAACAAAGATCAGCCAGGAATGTGTGTAAGTCTTACAAGTCAACTTTTGGGTGTCGTGTCAGAAGCCATTGGGTGGCAGCTGCCCAGCTGCTTCCATGCACCCCAGGAAATTTGTGTCCCCCCCCCCCCCCCCCTTTCCCCTGCATATGCCCTCAATATTTTTGTCATGCTCTGCACTCCCACCAACAGACCTGTGATTGGCATGGTGGGTGCTGCCTGGCAGAGGGGAGGGAGATCCACGAACGTCCATTTGCCTATCTCCCTTCCTAATGGGAACCTAGAAGCGATGTGTAAAATGTTGCTTCCGGGTCCTGCTGTCACTTTTTATGGCTGCTGTTGCTGGAGAAGCAGCTCTATTAGCTTTAATGGTGGAAAGGTGAGACATCAAGGCCTAAAGGAGAACCTGTCAGAAAAAAAAAAAAAAAAAGTAGCATATAGGAGTTTTTTTGTCCCTTATGTGATAAGATACAAAGTTTAGTTTAAAAAAACAAAAAGTGTAAAAAAAAGTAGTTACACCACAGCACTTAAACCCTAGCCCCAAAAATTGAGCCCCATCACCACATATGAACGTAAGCTCACGTGTTGGGGGTGCACTACATATTATATTGCCACACATACCAGAATGGGAGCAATAATTCTATGCCAGTTATTCATGGTTAACGCTAAGCTGATGACCAAGAAACTGCTGGAAGTACAGAGAGGGCATTTCTCCTGAAAATCCTCCTCCAAAGGATAAAAGGCTGATGAACAGTTGATAGGGACAAAAGCTAGTCCAGGGTTCTTCCGGTCTCCATAAAAAAAGACTTGGACATCGGGTGCAATTAGAAGGCCCTAATGGAGCCAAGACCTGGGGACCACTACAGTAGAAGCAGGCTTATCATCTTCTTCAAGTTTAAGGTGGTGCACACTAATGGCAAAATGGCTTTAAAGGCGAAGTTCACTTTTAGAACATACCTGTCACGCATTACACCATACAACATTACACGTTATAGAGATCTGTAAATGGATAAACTACCATCACGGCAGACAGACTTTTATTTTTAATAAACTGTGAGTGCAGTGATTGGCGTGCTCATAGTCCATTGACTCTTCCTCCAGCTTTCTGCCCATACCTCTGTATGGGCTTTTGGTTAGAAAGCTGGAGGAAGAGTCCGTGGAATGTGAGCGTGCCGAGAACAGTACTGACGTGTTTGCAGGAGCTTTATAATGCTTTGCAGGCTCCTGTGAGGAAAAAAAATAATAAATGCATTTTTTATTTTCCTGCAAAAATTTGTACATTTCTTATCTTTTTCCTTTAAAGGTGAACTTGATGTTTTAAGTTTTGGAATGATGCAGAAAACTGTGATTCCTCCTGTGTAGGTTCAACCATTAACGACTTAAGAGACTCTTCTCAGACAGAATCTTGATGGCTGCTAAGGCTGCAGGCAGATCGCATAAATATTCTGCAGGAAAAGCCATGAAAGCATGCTTAATTCCTCTGCAATCGTAAATCAAATGTGCTAGTTATTTAATAAAATCCTGTATGACTGCAGCTACAGTATGTCTTTCTGGGATAGAGCTGAGGAGACGCCACAGCCATGGATGCTAAAGAAGACTCCCCAGCATGACATAGATTCTAGCATAGAGCAAAACTCCATGCCTTTAGTGTTGGGCAGTTCAGGGAGTACAGGCCGAATGGGAACCACTAGTGGAACACATGCTGAGGCTGTTCAGCAGAGTGGGACTGTTCCCCCATGTGTCTAGAACCAGGCATGTTGCACCACAGGGTGGAGCACAATTTAGCTCAAGTACAAGGCTAGATCATCATGAACCCGCCTGCTGGGCAGCTGTAGGCAAACTGAGGAAAGAGTTCCATGTGCCACTTGCAACCAGATCCAGCAGCGGGAAGAAGCTTCCTCAATGCTGAATGGCAGGAAAGACAGCATGGAGGACATTCTACCCAGCAGCTGATGTCAGCGCTAGTCCCTCAATGTTAACCCCTTTTGTGGTAAGACCGATGGAAGCAGGCATTTTAAATGGTGCACAATGGTACTAATAGTGACGTAGCTCCCATTGCTTGGGACGGTGCAGCCTACTCACAGAGTGAGCCTTTAGAGATAGGGTCACACCTATGGCTGTGCCATGGCTCTGGACCTGGAGAACACACAGTGGATAACTCAGGATTTCTCTATCAGGGTTCTACGGAACCCTAGCATTCTGGTTTGAAGTCTCCAGGGGCTCCACCACAATTTACCTGCCAATTGCAAGCAATTGATGGGTGGATTGCATCCCACTTAGCTGACACGTGCAGGGAAGCAACAAGTGTCTGTGCTGTTCCTCACTGACCCCGCCTCCCCTCCTGTCCATCCCAAGTGCTTACATGTAACATCACATAGAGTGGATGGAGGGGTCAGTGGGGAACTGCTCTCTGCAACAGGGCTCATCACAGCAGCATCTCTGTGCTCCTGTGCATGTGAAGGAAGCCG